AAACAGATATTAGAGAAAACAGGTTTCAGTCTTATTTTATACATGATCCTGATTAAAATATATAAATCATAGGAACAAGAAGTATTCAAGATTGATTACATCTAGCTTGTAAATCCCATGTTTTACAAAATTAGTGGTTTATTGGGAAATACAAGATTAATATGCAATTTTTAGCAGCTCTAGTTTTCTTTTCCTTTTCTTTCTTTCTCTTCTCTTTCTTTCTTTCTCTCTTTCTCTCTTTCTTTTCTTTCTTTCTCTCTCTCTTTCTTTCTTTTTTTAAAGCATAGACAGACTTCTTAGGAAAACAAAGCTGTATCTTGACTAATAGACTCCAAACTGCTTGGTAGAGAAGCCCAGCCATGCCTGGATGTCATTCAGGCCTTCATGACCATTAACAGCGCACACTCCGTAAGCCACCACGAGTGAGTCAGAATTAATAACCAAATGTTTGCTTTGGGGGTGGAGGGAGTCACCACCCTCACAAGGACAGTCCTGGTCTCATCTTGTCCTCGCTGTGACCCACTTTCATTTCCAGGTGAAGGAAAAGGAAAGTGGAGCCCAGGAAGAACAGAGCCACCTCCTTGGAGCAGCCCCAGCCCTGGCTCTCCTGTTCTCAGCACTGTCCTCCGTGTGGCCGCTTGAGCTCATTCACAGAAGGGACCACGATGCTGCAGGTCGACTGTGTCTGGGCCACTGACTGCTCTTAGCTGTTTACACAGGACTTAAAGGGGATGACATCACCGCCAAGAGCTCCCCCTTCAGTGCGCCGGAGCAGGCCAAGAGCTCTATGAGTGACTGGGGCTCAGACTCTCGTCCCAAGTTCTAGCACACACTCTTCAGACCTGCCTGCAGGCAAGAAAGAGAAAGTCTCAAAACGTAATCGCTGGGGCCAAGTTTCTAGGTATCCATTGGATCCCAAGCAGGGCCTCTTGCAGCATCAGGCAGGAAGATGGCCGAGGGACCTCAGTCAGGGCCCATCCTGGTCCGGAAGTCTATGCTGCCTTGTATATGGCATGTACCCAATAGCCTGCAGCTTCCTAAGTCATCGTCATTACAAACGTACAACCCCCTTAAGCACCAGAAAAGGGAACTGCCCCATGAGATTCCTAGGAGCGTTGCTTGTCTCTTGGGTCATGCATAATGCTGCACACCACTGAGTCTCAGGGTCAAACCCTAGAGTTCAGGCTCTGCGAAGCATGTCTGGAGCAGGCTGTGTGAAGACAGTTTATGTAGCTGGCCAAAGGCTGTACTGCTGGAGCCGGGCTGGCTTGCCACGGCTGTGTTCACAGAGTGGCCTTATAGCCCTGGGGCCAGTCTCAATGGCCAGTCTATTACGTCTTCTCAGATACTTTGATGTGGCATGGAAATTCCAGCGCCAGGCTTAGCAGGGCACTCTAATTCTTCGGACGTTTCTTGTCTCTGACCTCAGAACTTCAAGACGAACGGTGCTCTGCCCAAGCCACCAGGGTTACCTCCAGGAAGTGATTTGCTCCTCACCTCACATTATGACCCACCTCACATTTTGGTTTATTGCCAAGAAATAAAGAGGGCCCAGGTTACATGCTGATAGACACGGCTCTGCAAGAGCACTGACTGTTCTTACGGAGGATCCGGGTTCAATTCCCAGCACTCACATGGTGGCTCACGACTATCTGTAACTCCAGTTCCTGAGAATCTGACACCCTCTTTGGGCCTCCAGGAGCATTAGACACTCAAGCAGTGCAGACATACACGCAAGGCAAAACACCATACACATAAGTAACACAAAACCATAAAAACTGTAAGGAAGAAGGAAACTTCATTTGGAAAGATTTTCCATCACTATGAAGACTTTCTAGAGGCTGAGAGAAATGTTTGGGTTGATCTATGAAATGGCAGTGTGACGCAAACACCAGAAGTGTGACCGCTTTTAGGTGAAAGTTGAGCGAACTCCTGGGCTCCATCGCAGAGTCAGGCTAAGGTCATGCTGGAAGAATGCAATGGACTGCTCATGAGGGCTCAGGGCCGGCCAGGCTGCTTCACAACGGCCATTCCACACTGCAACGGCTCATCCCCATTTACACTGGATTTAGACCCAGGAGATACACCTCTGGGCGTGTGTGGGGTGTTTCCAGAGAAGCTTAGCTGAAGCGGAAACACACGGAATGTGAGTGGCACCACGTTCCAGACTGAACAAAGAGGGATTTAAGTAGAAAATCAGCTGAGTGCTGGCATCCGGCCCCCGCCCAGGGTCTCCGCACCCTGGTCCACAGAGATGTAAGGAGCAACAGGTCAGGCCATACCCCACCCCGCTCCAACTCCGTTACACCTTCCCGGCCATGACAGATACCATGCTCTGTCACACCATGGGCCAAAATAAAGTGTCCCGCCTACATGTTGCTTTTTGCCAGGGATTTGGTTACAGGAACAGAAACACGACAATCAAATCCACCTAGAGTCAAACGTGTCAGAGCTGGGGAGTAGGGGCCAGCACCCAGCCCCCTCCCAGAAGATGGAGAGCCAGGTGGATCCTGTACCCAAACACTGGGGTCCCATCAGGAGCTCTAATTTATTCAGTTTAGACACAGACAAACCCTCTCTGCTGATGATGTCCAATAACAGCAGGTGGCATCTGGCTTCTCAGGGACCATGCTCTTCCCTTCAATGCTGGCCACTCCCACATTCTCTCCCAGGTGACATGCCCAACTGCCTCAAACACATGCCAGTCAGAGTCCTTTCAGTTCTCTTTCCCTGCCTCTCTTAGCAGAGACCACTCCTCTACTCCTGGACACCCTCGCCAGTTCTCTGGACTCTGACCTTCCTGGAAAGGCCTCGTGGGCCCCGTCTCCCTGTCTAACCTGAACCACCACTGAAGCGAGTCACTAACCACCAGCATGCAGGGTCTGCTTGAAAACACCACACTTCTCACTCCTAACAGACTAACACTAAACTCCTTGGCATAATGTCCAGAGAGCACACACATTCTCTGTCACAGCTTTCCACACCTATCCACTGGGCTTTGCACCATTCCCTTGGCTTTCCTGCCTCTAGAGATGGCTTTCTACCTCTACCTACAGCTTTTATCAGTCCTTTGAGACCCAGTCAATGCTGCCTCCTCTGGGAAGCTTCCTTAATCTTCCTCTGACTTTTTATCCTATCCAACCGAGTAGTGCTTTCTGCATATTTCTACGCTGAACATCACACTAACGGCAGCAATGTGTTCTGATACCGGTTTCCCCAGAGACAACGCTTCGAGGACCTTTGGGGAAGGGACCACGTCTGTATCTGTGGACTGAGGCTGCACAGAGAGCACACACAGGAAGAAATGCTGAACCTGACCATCAGTCTGCAGGCACACTTACACTACAGTAAGATGAACCAAACAAAAGAGCAAGAAGCTGGATGCTGCAGCCTAGGCCCTGCTACCAGAGCTGTAGGCTCTGCACCTGCACAGACACTCCATGCCTTATCTTCACGTCTGCGTAAGGAGGTGGGACTAAAGGACGTCCATGGTCTTGTTAATGCCTCCATTCTAGCATCTAGAGTCTGTGAGTGTGTGTGTGTGTGGTGTGTGTGTGTGTGTGTGTGTGTGTGTGTGGTGTGTGTGTGTGTGTGTGGTGTGTGTGTGAATGTGTGATGTATGTGTGTGTGATGTGTGTGTGTGTGGTGTGTGTGTGAATGTGTGATGTATGTGTGTGATGTGTGTGTGATATGTGTGATGTATGTGTGTGATGTGTGTGTGATATGTGTGATGTATGTGTGTGTGATGTGTATGTGTGATGTGTGCGTGTGATGTGTGTGTGGTGTGTGTGTGTGATGTGTGTGTGTGCATGTGGTGTATGTGTGAATGTGTGATGTATGTGTGTGTGATGTGTGTGTGTGTGGTGTGTGTGTGATGTGTGTGTGTGTGTGTGGTGTGTGTGTGAATGTGTGATGTATGTGTGTGTGATGTGTATATGTGAGAGAGAGGTGTGTGTGTGATATGTGTGATGTATGTGTGTGTGATGTGTATGTGTGATGTGTGCGTGTGATGTGTGTGTGGTGTGTGTGTGTGATGTGTGTGTGTGTGGTGTGTGTGTGAATGTGTGATATATGTGTGTGTGATGTGTGTATGTGAGAGAGAGGTGTGTGTGTGATATGTGTGTGTGTGATATGTGTGATGTGTGTGTGATGTGTATGTGTGATGTGTGTGATGTGTGTGTGGTGTATGTGTGTGATATGTGTGTGTGTGTGTGTGTATGTGATGTGTGTGAGTGCCCATGAAGGCCAGAGAAGGTATCTCTAAATTGTATGATGATAAAATTTAAAGGTAGGTATAGTGGTGCATGCCTATAATCCCAGCTTTGAGAGGCAGAGGCAAGAGGCTCATGAGTTGAAGACCAGCATAGGCTACCTAGTAAAACCTTGACTCAATAACCAGAGGAAGAGAAGGAGGGAGGTGGGAAGGGGAATTCGGAGGGGAGAGGGAATAGTCTATTAATATAACAGAAAAAAAGCTACAAAACAAATTGATGGCTGGAGAGATGGCTGTCCTTGCCTTACAAGCACAGGGACCCAGCTCATACCAGAACCCACATCAAGAAAGCTGGGTGTAACAGCATGTGCTTGTGCTGGGGAGGCAGAGACAGGGAGATCCCTGGACTCCCTAGCCAGCCAGCCTAGCCTAATTGGTGAATTCTGGATAGATCCTGTCTAAAATACAACAAAAAAAGTGGATGGTGCCAGAGGAATACCACCAAAGACAGCCAACTTTTTCCTGTGGTTGCCACATGCACCTATACATGTATAACCACATTCACACACACACACATGCACGTGCATGCACACACAACAACTCATTCCCAGCTGCCCTCTGCTAAGAAAGGAAGACGTTCCTAGCTTCTGCCTTCCGCATATCTGAGCCCCCAGATGGTTTATTAAATACCACAAACAAGGGAAAAGTTTTGATAAAAAGTTAACATGCCTCCCAAGGACTAAACACAAACACATGGCTGAGCTTGCAAAGCTGAGTTGATAGTTACCTGGTGACCCCGTACTCTGGGGGTGGCTGATACCTCAGGACGGCCACTTCTGTTCTTGCAGGCTGAGGTGCAGGGTAAGGTTTGACCATCTCATGGAGTACTCCAGGGTGCTGGTCACTGTAGTAAAGGCCATGATCTTGGTTCTTGCTGACTGGGGACATCATTGGCTTGCTCTTGAAGGGGTATTCGGGTGGAGGGCCACGAGGGTCCAGTGCTTTCGAGGCCGGCGGGGCCGGGGATGGCCCTGCTCCAGCTTTGAAGCCCTTTCCATTTCCTGAGCTAGGGAGGTGTTGCTTAGCTCCATTCCTCTCCAGTGACAGCTGCATGATCCTCTCGCTGAGGGATCGGACATGGCCTTGCTTTAGCTCTTTCAGGGCCTCGTCCTTGTGTGCTTGTCCACTGTTGGCCCGGTTGACTGTGGGCCTCCCCTCCGTGCGGGACTTCTGACTGGTACCTCCGGCCATGTAGTACGTGTGGCCAAGGGGCCCCTGTCCCTGCTGCTGCTGCTGCTGTTGCTGCTGCTGCTGTTGCTGCTGCTGCTGCTGTCCCCTGAAGAACTGAGACTGGGCCTTGGCCTCCTCATATGTGGGCAGCTCCTCATTGTTCTGTTGAGGCTGAGTGGAGCGGACCTGCTTCTCCATCACCGAATTGTCCCCCTGGTGCTCTTGACCCTGCGGCTCCTGGCGGGCTGACTGGAAGACCATTTGTGGGTCTTCTTGAGTGAGGGTTTCCGTGGAAGAAAAGTTGTTGGTAGCGTGGGCTGGCCCTGCACTCCCTGTGGCCTGGTGCTGAATGGCCAGCAGGTTCATGTTCTCAGTTGGGGTGCCATAGCGCAGTTGTTCCTGGATCAGCCGCTGTAACACTGTTCCAGCTGCCACATCCTCAGAACCTCTCATTTCCACCTCTGGGGTCCTCAGGAAGTTTGGGGAGTGGAAGTTGGAGAGAGGGTCCTCCACTGAAAGACAAACAGGAACCGAGCTAACAGGCTGTCTCCAGGAGACACCAATAGGGTGTCATTTAAAGACTGGGTTCCGGAGGTGCCAGCACCTCCACCCACCCTACAATGCCTCACGGGACATGGCTCGCCCCTTCAATCCCTTTCCTGTCTCCTCCTTTCCCTTTCTTAACAGCCCTACTGTGGCAGAAACTGACCTAAGTCTTCCATGAAACCACCCACGGCCCTCTGCCAGATCTCTAATGATGGTTCTCCATCATTCCTTTCCTTCTCTCAGGGCTGTCCACAGAAAGGCAACCCACATTGGCTGTCCCCCTGTTCCAAATATCACACACTCTGCTCTGATTAGTAACCAAATCCAACCTGAGTTTTGGGACTCATGTTACACATGTAACCTTTCTAGAACATTCAACCTGATTGTTTACCCTCTGTTTAAATGTTCTTCTGGTTTAGCACCCAGGCCACTGCCTCAGTACCCTCCTTCCCGGCTCCATTTACACTACCTGCCTCTTCTAGTCTGTATGCCCCAAGCTCCACTGAACAAAATGGCCACACTTGTCTTCAGCTCCTGAGTCACGGTCCTGCCTCTGCAATGGCAACTGACAGCACTTAACAGCCATCTCCTTCCAACACACCATCCTTCCCTCTCAACTCCTGCATCCCGTGTCTTGTTCATTTCTTGGTTATTATCAAGAAATTTCACACTAGTGACAGACAGTAAGAAAGCAGAAGCAAGCCCAGATTCTGTCCCAATCTTCTCTCTGTCCAACTCTCTTCCACGCGCTCCCCTCCCCAGGCCCAGGCTCTGCTAACCAGTTGCTGGGAGATTCCAAACAGCCCCAAACCTCTTGCTTCTGACCTCCTCTGTCTCGGATCCACAAAATCTTTATTGTCTCCCTCCCTGTCCCAGAGATCACCAGTACAGTGGTCTGTATAGTCAGTTCCAAGCTAGCCGGGGCTACACAGAGAGACAGCAAAGAGACCAGACAGTAACAACTATAACAAACAAACAACCCAAGGGAAGACAGCCATTGTGGATTTCAGAGGCCATCTCATTCGCCTGGCAAGAAAACCACTAAATTCTTTTTACATTGGAAAGGGGGGTCACATTGTCAGGAGCCCTGGGATCCTTCCTGAAATGGTTTTACCCCGAGACATCACCCCGAGATATCGCCACCAGAAAGTTGTTTGAAAGGAGGAGGTCCCTTATTTACTAAGGTTTGGAATTTATTTTGAAGTTCTGACTTATTTGCAAAAACAAAAAAATGAAAGCAGAGAAGGGAAGAAAAGAGGCAAATGATTTGAGAACAGGCAGGAGAAAGTATTTAGAATTTGAGCAGAGAATAATTGGGTATAGATGATTTAATTCTGAAGCTCCTATGTTTGAAGACATGAAGAGTCTCCTGGAAGGAGTCACATAGAAAATAGTCTTTTTTATGGTGTGTGTAGAAGTGAATATGCATGCTTGTTTGGGTACACCTGTGTGTGCGGTGGCCATGAACCTTATTTTTCTTAACAGAATATCCTTTATCTGTTCTTTGACAATTCCATACACATAAACGATGTATCTCGATCCTACTATCCACCTCGGGCGCCATCACTTCATACCCACCCTACCATCCTCTCCTTTTCTTTCTTTTAACTTTTTGTAACCTGCTAAATTCAGTGCTGCCAGCTGGGATATTGCCTGATTGAGTTGGGCTGGTCTTGTGCAGGTCCCACAGCTGCTGGGAGCCTAAGTATGCCACAGACATGTCATGAGAACAGAGCTCCACTCCTCCTGTTCCCAAGTCTTCACTATTTCTGTCCTCTCTCCCACAATATTCTCTGAGCCTTGGGGTGGGGGAGAAGGTCACTTTGGTCTTTTGGGACAATCTCTCACTGGGACCTGGGAATCAATAACTAGACCAGTGAGTTCCAGGGACCTGCCTCTCTCCACCTCACTAGAGCTGGGCTGACAAGCGTGCACACCACGCCCAGTTTCTTTACATTCTGGGATCCAACTCAGGCGCGCGCACATGTAGAAAATTAACAAATTACTCATAACAAGAGATTATTAGTGATAGTCAATAGTAAAATAGCTCCGTTATGACAACATACTGCCCTAAGAGTATTTCAGACTTATGAACTATTTGCTTCTAGCATTTTTCAATTAATATTTCAGATTACCATTGACGTTGGGTAAGCAGAGTGGTGGAAAGTGAAGCCACAGGCACAGGGGTTACTTACTGCAGAAGGGCTGAAAATGAGAAACTCTGCTCCTCCGTGCTCCTAGCACACAGACAGCAAAAAGACTCACCGCTTTTCCCCCTCAGGCCTCCGCTTGCCTCCACTGTCAAAGCGGATGCCTCATGCCTCCCAGAATAGAGCTGCAAGTCTGGGTAGAAGTAGGCGGGCTCTTCTAGAATCTGCACAGGACTGCTGGGGTTGTAGCCGGCACGGGGAGGAGCTGGAGAAAGAAAGCGATGTGTGTGTTAGTGCCAATCACGTGCCCCTCCCTCCTGCGTGACTCACGCCCCCCACATGGCAACTGGCAGTGAGTCTGCCTGTTTCATTCATAAAATTCCAGAGGTACTTCTCACAACTGTCCCAAATCCAGCCACCCACCATGCTGACCCAGGAGTCTTCAAGACCTGCTGAGTGAAGAAGACGCGAAACTCTCACAGTGGCGCACCCACGGTCCTCGGCGGAACGGGAAGAGGCGTGACCTTTGAAATTGTCAAGGGAGAGGACAGAAAGGAGGGAGTGGAGCAGACCAGAAAGAGAACGGTGAGGAGGACGGCCGTCAGCAAGAGAATGTCCCAGGCTGAGACCCAGTGTGCTCCGGCCCCCTGGGAAGCTGCTGAGTCTCACGTTGCAGAAGAACCAGGGGCTTGGGCCTGGACCTCAGCCAAGCAATGACCATTCAGCTCCTTTGTCTGCTACACACACACACACACACACACACACACACACACACACACACACACACACACCCCCGAGTTAAACTCGGACCCACAGCTACCAAACATGATCCCACTTCAGGGATACCAACAGCACACTTGTCAGCATACTGGGCCGTCTTCCCTTCCTGCTCTGACACCTCTGTGTGGACATCAAGATTACAGCTCTGCATTTTTTTCCACTTTACTCTGGAGACTCGTGTTATTATTTATTTCTTATTAAAATCCCTGCCTACTTGCCTGAAAGATAATTCCATTTTAGAAAACAAAACAAAACAATTTTCAGCAATGGTTTTAAACCAGACATCTGAAATTTCTCCTAAGTTTTGCACAAGACCAGAGCTACTAGTGACTTAAGACGCCAAGGGCCAAAAACTAGAATGCAGCCCCTCTCCCTGAGTGATTGTCCCTCACAGGTAACACAGCATTTGTATGCATGCTCTCTGTCTAATGAGCACATCTAGCCCAGAAAGACAAAGTTATGATTTCCATAGCTGAAATACTTACCTTATAAATTTAAAATAAATAAATTCAGTTGGGATTCTCACCTTAGAGATGATTACACACTAAGCATGAAAGACATATGGTACCACGATCAGTCTGAAACCACAGTCCTAATGCCTAAGTCGTCTCCTTCCAGCCAAGTGCAATAACCACCCTGAAGAGAAGAAATGTGAGACCTCTTCCTGGGCCTCATCTTTTAGACCTATAAATCTGAAAGCTAGGGCTAAAATTGGCGACTCTATACAGCTTTGCTCACAGTCAAATCCTGACCTAGTTTCTATCTACAGATGGGCGTCAAACTAGAGGGGAGCAAGGCCTAGGCTTGGCTGCATATTAGAGACCTGGGGTACTTTTCAAATCCCATGTACAGGATATGACCCAGGCAACTGTAGTGTGTGTGTGTGTGTGTGTGTGTGTGTGTGTGTGTGTGTGTGTGTGTGTGTGTAGGACTGAACCCAGTGTCCTGGACAAACCAGGAAGCATTCTACCACTGACTAAGATATATCTATTTCTTGCTTCTTAAAATACTTTTTTATTTTGATCAAGGGTCTTTCTAAGTTGTCTGGACTAGTCTTAAACTCAACTCAACTCTGTAGTTAAGGAAACCTTGAACATGCAATCCCCCTGCCTCTGCCTCCAGAGTAGCTGGGCTTGCAGGCATGTATCACCAGGCTGTCTTTTATAAAGCTCTCAGAATGACTCCAATATGGAGTGAATGTTGGGGATCCCAAAGCTAGAGGAAAGCAGGGCACATCAGGGGAAAGAGTAACCCACAAAACACCACTGTCCACCCTCACACTGCAAGCTCTTGGTACGTACCAAGTGTGGAGGTTGGAGTCAAGAGTTCATGTGCTCCAATCAAACTGGTGTTTTCTTAAAAATGTGCTGGGTCAGGAGTGGTGTGGGGCAGCATGCAACAACTTTGCAGGCTGTTGTCGAGTCATGTGACTAAGAGAGCAAGCTCTGAATGCCATAGAAGCAATAGTGTATATACAAACGCATATAAGGGGAGAGAAGGTGCAGTTTTAATATAGTTCTCACAATGGGCCCTGCACTGATCCATCACAGCCGCAACAGTGTTCGTACCAACCACTTTTCTCATTTTTCCCATGGCTAGCCAAGTAAAAGAGCATGCCGTGGCAGAGTAGTCTTTAAAGGAACCTGTCCTCAGAGGACACCGAAGTCACACGGCCTTTTACTACATGGTTGTCAATGAAAGAACTAGTACACACACACACACACACACACACACACAAGACATTGTGTCCGGCTATGATCACGGGTCTATGGTCACTCAAGACATCTTTCACATACACTCAGGGCTCATACATTCGCTGACAGACATTTTCACAGCTGCCAGGGTTCTGGGTGCTGACGAAAGGCAAGAGGGTCCACAATGAGAGAACAGACCCTACAGACAAACAGGCCACCCGGGGAGTTCTAGTCCACTCCAGCAAGAGACAGTGGGGTTACCTCAGCACTGACACCCTGAGAAACCAGAGATCACATAGAGCCAGGAGAAGTGGCAGTGGGACGTGTCTCAAAGCCCAGATGGCATTCCTAGGTCAGACAGAAAATGTCTGCAAGGCCTTGGGTTCCCTCGCCTGTGTTCCTAGTCCTTTTTGCCTGTGTTAGTTCATTGTCTTGCACAGGGGATTTCTCCAGCAAAAATTCATTCTATTTTCTTAAGCAAAATGCCAGACCAAGGATATTTGAAATGAGAACTTAGAAGCAGATGCACAGCCTGAGCAGAACGCTGTTTTCTTTGCTGGCACTTCCTTATGGGGAGCAGAAGCTGCAAGAAGCCACAAAAGCCTTCCAGACGCCACTACCACCCAGAAGGCTCCTGTAAGGCCTGGCTCAGACCCGGGGACCAACAACCCTGCCAGAGTAGAGAGATCTTATGGCTGCTGGCTCAGCAGTCTATCTGTATAGCATGGCTGTGTGGGCGGGCATCATAAGGACTACTTCTATGCAAGGCCCCCTGATCTAAGTTACCTAACCTCTTGTAAACCAGACCCTCTGCTGAGAGTTTTGGAGACAGGGCCAAAGCACTGGAAAGGAGGCCAAGCTCAGCGTGAGGTGCCAGGTCTCTGGGGGCGTGGTCTAGGGAGGCCCATGCAACTCCCTGTGCCCCTGACTGGAAAAAAGGCAAGGGTCTTCTCCATTGTATTCAACAAAGGCTGATGCCCTGAAATTCTATGAAATTCTATGAAGTTAATGTTTCCCTACACTGACAAGACCCATTTCACCAAGAGCCATTCCTTTGGCTAACAAAATCCACAAGCCACAGAATCTTGCCCCCTCCCCCGCTTCAGAGCTCAGGGGCTTCTGGCTTGCTTTGGAGGCACTAGAAACCTACATCCCTCCACAGTTCTAGGCTGTCCCTTTCTTTGTGACTGTCTTCCAAGCCAGCTGGTGATGCAACCTGACGAAGATTTTTTCTCTCACTAACCATAGAGATGATAAAGGGTCTCATCATTGAAGAAAAATGAATTAGAGTTAAAATGAAACCATCTTTCTAGGGGAGGAAAGAGGCAGGGCAAGGGACTATAAGCAGCATCTCAACTCTGTTCCCATGGCAACTGGTGGACTCCTCAGAGGCAGATCCAGCATCCATCACCATGTCAACTGAGCAGGCTGGGAAGACACTTTGAGGTTTAAAGTCCAGGCATCAGTCACACTACTGTCACCCAACACACACACACACACACACACACACACACACACACACACACACACACACACACATACACACACACACACACACACACACACACACAGGGCCGAGGGTGGCACTGAGACTCCCCTGTCCTTAGGTTCCTTTCCGCATGCCACTTCTTTCGTACATAACCTTCTGGTCTTTGGTTTCCTGGCTGTCTATCATTAAGCTCCTCCTCTGGCTGTCCGTCATCTCACTGATTCCCGCAGCATCCTGCATCCTGTGCACATGTCCTCCCAGTACCACCCCCTAGCTTCACACACACCTTCCACCTGCTCTAAATTCTCAGCAGATTTACTCCTATTTAGGTTTAACTCTTCTGGTGTGCCTCCCCTCCCCTACACATAACCCCTCCCCTCTCGTGCACATACCCCTCCATCAGCCACCACAGCAGCCTATGCTTGGAGGATACAAAACTTACCCCTTAACATCACAGCCCTGGACATGGCGACAGTGTTGTTTAAGATAGGATGCTGCTACCACCCTCATGAGAAGGCTAAGCCTCTGAAGACGGGCTGTGTACTTGCGGATTTAGCATATACAGTTAGGCATAGTCTCTGAGCACACAGAGAATAAAGCAGGGTTCTCTGGGATACTCTCAGCACCACCAGTTGAAAGAAAATGTTAAGGCTTCCTCTCTGAGCAGCCTTTCAGTTCCAGATAATCCCTTGCACCCTTTGGCTCCCTAAAATACAGGGATGCTTTCTGTCCCTCTGCAGCTAATACTGGTTCTCTGGCGCGTAGTTCAGGCAGGACTGGAGGTTTTCCTGAGGTGTGGGGTACCCCACTCAAGGAGATGCATGCCTGGAAACATTGGCTGAAAGGGTGCTAGAAAGTTCAAGAACACAGTCGGAAAACAAGGAATGAGCCAAGCCATATGGTAGGCACCTGAGACAAGGTGAGACTTGTAAAGGCAGCAAGTCCTCCTCATCCTTACACACCTAACACAACACACACCTGTGCACAACACACACCTGCTCACAATACACCTGTGAACACACATCTGTACACAACACACACATACCTGCACACAACACACTTGCTCATAATATACATCTATGCACAAACACATACCTGTGAACAACACACCTGTGCACAACACACAACCTGTTCACAATATGTACTTTTCTAAGAGGAAATGCACAGTGGAATAGGCTTTCTCACTCTCTTTTTCCCTAAAAAAACATGATTGGAAACACAGGATTTAGTGTGGGAAGTAATGAATAAAGCTTCTAAGATTCTCATACATGATGCTCTTCCAAACCAGCATCAAAAGAATCC